TTGAAACTCGTAGCTTTCGATAACTGTATGTGCACATCCAGCTGTAGGCCAGGTGGATGGTGTGTCTTCCTCCTGCTTTGGCTGCTGGTTAGGCAGAACTCAGTTCTCAGTGAAACTTCCAGAGTTTTCCTCTGCGACTTTTGTGCAGCTTCTGTCCTACCGTGTTCTGCCCCATATTCTTCTGATCTTTTTTTCAGTCCACCAAGATAGGGCAAGAAGCTCTTTGTTGCTGGGACTGTGGGTATACCTGTCACAATGGTTTGAGGGAAAGGTAAAAAGGTCAGCCCCAAGGGAAGAGTCAAGCCAAAAGGACAACCGTTGAGAAGCAATGAAAGCCCTACATGCCCCCCCCTCCCTACATGAAGATTAGGTGCAGAATTCAAGAGCTGTATGTGTCTACAGCAGGCCCACCCTGTTTTTTAACTCATTTCACTCATCCTAAAAGAGATAATATTTCATAGGAGCTTTTTTCAGTACTCCCCCAAATTTCCAATTTTTCCATTGAACAAAGGGCCTGGAAAAAAACCCAGGGGAATCCCCCCGCCCCAGCCTTAGCACCTCTAGGGTACCTTCAAATGGTGTGAAGATGATCAGCTACCTGGATAAGCACTGTGCATCCATGCTGAGGTGTGGTGAAGGCCAAGTGGATTTTTGTTAATTGGAAAAGTTGGGAAAGGTGTGGTTTTTCTAAATTTGGTAACACTTTAAATTGTACTTTGCAAAATGTTCTTTGAAGTATTGAAATGTTTGGAAGTTGTTGAGAATTTCTGTTATATAATGCTTTCATTTCCATGCACAATAAATACTTTTGAGGGGTATTTTGTGTGTGTGTGCGCGTGCGTGTGCCCGGATGTCATGGCGACCTCTGGCGACTCCTACTGCAGCATGGAGGACGTTCAGAGAAGTGGCTTGATAGCCTGCCTCTGCCTCCCGGCCCTGATATTCTTTGGAAGTCTCCCATCCAAACACTTGCTAGGGCCAGCCCTGCTTAGCTTCCGAGATCTGGCTATCCAGGCCTGGGTGCATAATAAATACTTTCAGTGGGAAGTTTCAAATGGTTAATAAATAGTTTCAAAATTAATACCATTGTTGTTTGTTTCCGGTTGTGTACGTGGGATGGAACGTAGTCACCCTGCAACAGGAATGGAGTGGATGTGTGCGATACAAAATGATCCCATAAACATGCTGCATGCACTGCCAGGGCTCTCTTGGCCTCGGGAGAAAGAGTTGGATAACGAGGGATGTGAAGGCAGTCCCGTGTGGGGCTTTGCTCGTACCTTTTGTTGGGAAATGAAAACTCACACGATCTGTGGCCTTTTGTTGTTGTTGTTCAGTCGCACAGTCGAGTCCAACTCTTCGCGACCCCATGGACCATCTCCCGCCAGGCCCTCCTGTCTTCCGCCGTCCTCTGAAGTTGGCTCAATTTCATGTTCGTTGCATCGATGACACTGTCTAACTATCTCATCCTTTGCCGTCCCCGTCTTCTTTGTCCTTCAATCTTTCCCAGCATCAGGGTCTTTTCCAGTGAGTGCTCCCTTCTCATTTGGTGGCCAAAGTATTTGAGCTTCAGTTTCATTATCTGGCCTTCCAGGGAACAGTCAGGGTTGATTTCTTTGAGGATTGACTGATTTGTTCTTCTTGCAGTCCAAGGGACTCTCAAGAGTCTTCTCCAGCACCATAGTTCAAAAGAATCTATTCTTCGGCGCTCGGCCTTCCTTATAGTCCAACTCTCGCAGCCATACATGACTACTGGGAATACCATTGCTTTGACCATGCGGACTTTTGTTGGCAGGGTGATGTCTCTACTTTTTATCATGCTGTTTAGGTTCGCCATCGCTTTCCTCCCAAGGAGCAGGCGTCTTTTAATTTCATGGCTGCAGTCACAGTCTGCGGTGATCTGGGATCCCAGGAACGTGAAGTCTGTCACTACTTCCACGACTTCCCCTTCTATTTGCCAAGGAGTGATGGGGCCGGATGCCATGATCTTAGTTTTTTTGATGTTGAGCTTCAAGCCCACTTTTGCGCTCTCCTCTTTTACCCTGAGCAAGAGGCTCTTGAGGTCCTCTTCACTTTCTGCCATCAGAGTGGTATCGTCTGCATATCTGAGGTTGTTGATCTTTTCCCCAGCAATCTTAATTCCCGCTTGTGATTCATCCAGGCCAGCATTTCGCATGATGTACTCTGCATATATATTAAATAAGCAAGGCGACAATATACATCCTTGTCGTACTCCTTTTCCTATGCTGAACCAATCAGTTGTTCCATATCCGGTTCTAACTGTCGCTTCTTGGCCCTTATACAGGTTTCTCAAGAGACATGTGAGGTGGTCTGGTACTCCCATCTCTTTAAGGACCTGCCATAGTTTGTTGTGATCCACACAGTCAAAAGCTTTAGCATAGTCAATGAAGCAGAAGTAGATATTTTTCTGGTACTCTCTTGCTTTCTCCATAATCCAGCGAATGTTGGAAATTTGATCTCTAGTTCCTCTACCTCTTCGAAACCCAGCTTGTACTTCTGGTAGTTCTCTATCCACGTACTGTTGAAGCCTAGCTTGTAGGATCTTGAGCATGACCTTGCTAGCGTGTGATATGAGTGCAATTGTGCGATAGTTTGAACATTCCTTGGCATTGCCCTTCTTTGGGATTGGAATGTATACTGACCTTTTCCAATCCTGTGGCCACTGTTGCGTTTTCCAAATTTGCTGGCAAATGGAGTGCAGAACTTTAACAGCATCATCTTCTAAGACTTTGAATAGCTCAGCTGGAATACCATCACCTCCACTAGCTTTGTTGTTAGTAATGCTTTCTAAGGCCCATTTAACTTCACATTCCAGGATGTCTGGCTCGAGGTCAGTGATTATACCGTCGTGGTTGTCAAGGACATCGAGGTCTTTCTTGTATAGTTCTTCTGTGTATTCTTGCCATCTTTTCCTAATCTCTTCTGCTTCTGTTAGGTCCCTACCGTTTTTGTCCTTTATCATGGCCAGCTTTGCATGGAACGCTCCCTTGATTTCTCCAACTTTCTTGAAGAGATCTCTAGTCCTTCCCATTCTATTGTTTTCTTCTATTACTTTGCACTGTTCATTCAGGAAGGCCTCCTTATCTCTCCTTGCTGTTCTCTGGAAATCTGCGTTCAGTTGGGTAAATCTTTCCTTTTCGCCTTTGCCTTTCGCTTTCCTTCTTTCCTCTGCTATTTGTAAAGCCTCATCAGAAAGCCACTTTGCTTTCTTACATTTCTTTTTCTTTGGGATGGTGGTGATTGCTGCCTCCTGTACGATGTCACGAACCTCTGTCCATAGTTCTTCAGGCACTCTATCTATCAAATCCAGACCCTTGAATCTATTCTTCACCTCTACTGTATATTCATCAGGGATGCGATCTAGGTCAAACCTGAATGGCCTCGTGGTTTTCCCAATTTTCTTCAGTTTAAGTCTGAATTTTGCAATGAGTAGCTCATGATCTGAACCACAGTCAGCTCCAGGTCTTGTTTTTACTGACTGGATAGAGCTTCTCCATCTTTGACTGCAAATTATATAGTCAATCTGATTTCGGTGTTGCCCATCTGGTGATGTCCATGTGTAGAGTCGCCTCTTAGGTTGTTGGAAAAGGGTGTTCGCTATGACCAGTGTGTTCTCTTGACAAAACTCTGTTAACCTTTGCCCTGCTTCATTTTGCTTTCCAAGGCCAAACTTGTCTTTTATTCCAGTTACCTTTTGACTTCCTACTTTAGCATTCCAGTCCCCTATGACGATGAGGACATCATTTTTTGGTGTTAGTTCTAGGAGGTGTTGTAGGTCTTCATAGAACCGGTCCACTTCAGCCTCTTCTGCATCAGTGGTTGGGGCATAGACTTGGATTACTGTGATGTTGAATGGTTTGCCTTGGAATCGGACAGAAATCATTCTGTCATTTTTGAGATTGTATCCCAGTACTGCCTTTTGCACTCTCTTGTTGACTATAAAGGCCACACCATTTTTTCTACGAGATTCCTGGCCACAGTAGTAGATATAATGGTCTTCTGAGTTAAATTCGCCCATTCCTGTCCACTTTAGTTCACTGATTCCTAGGATATCGATGTTCAGTCTTGCCATCTCATTTTGACCACGTCAAGCTTACCTTGATTCATAGATCTTACATTCCAGGTTCCTATGTAGTATTGTTCTTTGCAGCATCGGACTTTCCTTTCACCATCAGACACATCCACAACTGAGCACGGCAGACTCAGCTTCTTGTTGCTTCTTACACGTCTGTTTCCAAGTTCAGATATTGGCAGCCACTAGGATTATAAGGGCTAAAGATGTCTTAAGCCCCCGAGATTCCCTTAGTGGTCTATAATGTGCACAATCAGTTTCCCCCCGCAAATAACTCATGGCGTTTACTTGTCAGAGCTCTAAAAAGCAGTCCTCTGGCACACATTGACAAGTGGCTCATTTCCTGCCCCTTTGGAAAGAGGTTTCTAATGTCAGATGCAGGCCTTTAAACGTCTCTGGCTTTAGCTGTTTTTTTGTGTGTTGGATCAAAGACTGGTTTGTCCCAGGCTGCAAATTTCTGCTGGTTCTCTGGGGTTTTAATTTAAAAAAAATTATTGTAGTTACAGATTTGTTTGCATTGTTTGGTTCTTTTGTGTATTTTTGTTTTGCATACTGCTATGGGGACTGTCTCCTGCCAACCTAGCAGTTCGAACGCAAGAAACTGCAAGTAGATAAATAGGTACCACTTCGGTGGGAAGGTAACAGCGTTCTGTGCGCTTTGGTGTTTAGTCATGCCGGCCACATGACCACGGAGACGTCTTCTGACAGCGCTGGCTCTTCGGCTTTGAAACGGAGATGAGCACCGTAACCCTAGAGTCGGACTCGACTGGCTTTCGAGCAAGGGAACCTTTACCTTTATGGGGACTGTCAGGTGACCTACTTGAAACAAGAATGTGGAGTACTTTTTTGCTTTTGATCTGTGCAATTTCCGGCACCACTTCTGATGGTATTTCTGTTCTGGCCTCGTTAGAATGGTGGGAGAGGATGAAGACGCTGGCAGCGACACCGAAGGCGGTGAAGGCCTGACGGCAGATGTGCTGGCGACAAAGTAAGTGCTCCCGGGAGCAGGGCGGCTTGACCTTTAAGCCCAGGCCCGCAAGAGGAGCACCCTGCCCTTGGCCTGAGGGAGGCTCCTCCCGTTTCCCCGTCTCTGGCGGTGGCCTGTGGGGGCCCTCCTGCTTGCTCTCTCCCTCTTGGGAGGAACTCACCGGCTTCCCTGGCTTATGCCCCCCCATCCCCCCCCCCGCTGCTCTCTCTGGCGTCCTGACGTGACTCCTCCGGATCCCTCCTCTTCTGCCGGCTCTTTGCCTTTCCTCCTCAGTCCTCATTCCCAACTAGGGTGAATGGCGTTTGCGGGAGAAAGGTGGACTGCACCTGCCCGCCCCGTCCCGTCCCAGCAGATGCTCTCCTGCCGAGCTGCAGCCAGCCGCCCTTCCTCCTCCGCTGCCCTTCCCCCAACTGCTTTCTGAGCAAGGGTGTGCCTGCCGGCCAGAGGAACAGTGACGTCGCCTTGCCTGGCAGCCACGACAGGCAGCCTCCCTGTGACCCAGGAGCCTCATTCCACCCACCCACCCCCGCCTGTCGTGAAGCCCTCGTGGTGGCAGAATCGCCTCTCTTCAGAGACCGATCTCTGTTCCCCTCCCTCCCTCCCTCCCTCCCTCCCTCTCTCCATCTCTCTCTCTCTCTCTCTCTCTCTCTCTCTCTCTCTCCCCCCCCCACGTGAGAACCCTCAGCGAGGTCGCGGTCCTGGGCGCATCGATAGGAATTAAGTCTCTTGGGAGGGGTGGTCGGGGACTGGCTTCTTTGTACGCAGACGCAGAGTAGGGCTGGAAGGGGACCCGGAAGCAACACTGTGTGGTGAGCGATATAGGGCTTGTTTGAGGTGGAGGGCATCCAATAGGAGGAGGAGGAGGTCACCCTGGGGGGGGGGTATTCAAGACCCCGCCTCGTGGGGGGTGGGTCCAGTGGGGAACCCGAGTGTGACCTGCTGCTGTGCTCTTTATCATGCCTGTCCTGAAAGCTGGGTATTTCCCCCCATGCGACTAGACCAGCGGCCGTGGAAGCAGAGCTGGAAGGGACCTCTCAAGGGTCATCTAGTCCAATCCCTTGCACAGTGCAGGAAATTCACAACAACCTCCCCCCGTGACCCCTGCTCCAGGCCCAGGGGAAGGCAGAAAGCCTCCAGGATCCCCGGACTAATCTGGCCCGGAAGAAAATTCCTTCCTGGCTCCAAAGGGACGACTGGCGTCTCCCTCTGGGCATGTCAGAAAGGGCCTCGAGAGCTGAGCACCGAGAGCTCATCCCTTCCTGCCCTCACTCTCAGGACCCGCCTGCACTCGTAGCCTCCCCACTAGATGGTTGGGGTTCACTTTTAAGTGGCCACGCGTGGGCTTAAACCCAGCCATCCTTACTATAGTTGATCTTTCAGAAAAAGCCAGTATAAATAGATTCCAAGGACTTCAGTGTAACCGTCTTGCATTAAAGCCAGCAGTGGTACAGACTGCTCCGCTCCCTGTTTTCTGAGTGGGAGCTGCTGAATCGTCTTGCCAGCCAGCCGGCCAGTGTTACTGTGTTTGCCGCCCCGATGGGGAGGGAGGGGGCTGCTGTCCGGAGGTGCCCGCCGCTCCTCCTGTGGTCTGGGTGCACACAGTTCCATTGGCCCTTGGGGTGGGATTGGGGTCCAGCCGGAACTGCCTGCTGCCTCCCTGGCCTGCGTTGTGGTGGCAGAAGTGGTACCTCCTCCTTGTGATGCATTTGTGCAGGTTAGCAGCCGCAGCAGAAGGGAAGGGACCAAAGATCTTCGCTCGACAAGAGAGCAGCGATGAAGAGGAGGATGAGGAAGAGCTAACTCCGGAAGAGCTCGGTATGTCTTGCCTGCTTGTTGGCCACTGGGCAGGAGCAGGAGGGGGAAACAGCAGGCAGGCTCCTCTTGTGGAGCACGCGGAGAGCAGGAGAGTGGCCACGATTCCCGTTTTCCAGAGGCAGGGGATCCAATTTTGTGTGGGGCCACCAGATGAAGTTCAGAGGGTCGGGTTTGAGTAGTCAGTGGCTCGAGCCCATGGCAGCTGGGTGCCGTCCTTGGCGCACCTTCTCCTCTGTGTATGTTTAGGTCCTAAGAGTGCCAATAAAGTTGCCTTGTCAGGGACAGTATGCTTGTTACATATTGATGACACACTGTCCCTGGCAAGGCAACTTTATTGGCACTCTTAGGACCTAAACTGGAAGGTACATATTATTTCCAGTATATACAACCTCGTCTGACACAAGGCCAGATATATTTGTGGCCCTAAATAGAAACCTTTTGGTGTGTCAAAGACTCCGTTGCTTTGTGTACTATTTGACCTCTGAAAAAGGCTCTTGTGAGCTGAAACGTGTGTATTTGTAACTTGGAACATTTTATGAGGCTTTATTTGGGCCCCTACAAGGTTTTTATATGTTTTTGAAATAAACACTCCTTTGTATACTTACTTATGTTTTTAACTTTTGGCCCTCAATAAGTTTTCTAAACATCCTTTGGAGGTTTGTGCTTAGTTGGTTTAGATCTCCCCCCCTCCCTTTTTCAGGGCTCTGCCTTTGACAGCAGGCGGCTGTGAGGGGGTGTGAACTGGGGTGTGTGTGTGTGAGTGGAAGCCATGAATGGCTCCACTTCCCCTCAGAGGAGAACAGAGTTCGAGTCCAGCCAGGCACCTCTGGGTGTCAGCGTCCGTGTGCCCGCAGCACACTTCCTCAGATACCGACCGGAACGGAATTTCTTCAGCCATTTTGTTTCACTGTACCTGAAGAGGTGTGCTTGTCTACGAAAGCTTCTACCTCGAATGAAACTTTGTTGACCTTAAAAGGTGCCTGGCTGGACTCCAGCTGTGTCCTGCTGTTTCAGACCGACACGGCACCCCCCCCCCCCGGGGGGGGGGGGCCGGGCCGTGGCTTTGGGGGTGAGTGTGAGGAGGAGGGGAGGAGGCCATGACTGAGTTCTTGTGTCTGCAGAAAAAAAGAGGCAGTTTGAGATGAAGAGGAAGATGCACTATAATGAAGCTCAGAACATCAAACTTGCCAGACAGCTGATTGAGAAGGAACTGCGGGGTGATGCGGCCCCTGAAGAGGAGGAGGAAGATGAGGATGAAGAGATGACGGACGCGGCAGGCTCAGGACGAATGAGCCCGGAACTCGGTGAGCTCTTTATTCTCAAAGCGCGTACAAAGAAAGAACGCCCCCCTTGCTGCTGCTGCTGCGGCCGGGGAGGGCAGGCGGTGTGGGTGCCGGGGAGGGTCGTTTCCAGGCTGCTCGGTGCTGGCGTAGGCCTGCATTCTTCCGGCCCGCACCCCTCTCTCGGTCCGTGTCACTAAGCCTTGGGCCCTCGGTGCTCTTGGTTCTGCCGGGCCAGGAGTTCGCACCCCGGCCATCTCCCGAGCAGGTCTTGTCTTGGCATTCGCTCTCTGGGCAACTGAGCTGTCTCTTCTGGACAGTCTGCAGCCAGCTTGGCTTCTGTGCGGCAGACAACACGCGGGACCCTCTTCTCTCTGAGCTGGAAGGGGAGGCCTGAGCTGAGAGGTTGTGGCAGTTCTGGTCCCCCCCCCCCCGGAAGGCAGGCCGGGGGGGGGGGGGGGGGGGTGTGTGGAGTGGTGGGGAATGCACGGAAGTCCCTGCTGCCCCCACTCAGAGGCAGAACGTCTGTGTCTGCACCGAAGGCTGACCGGTGGCTGCTTCCTGAGGGTCCCCCTGCCCCCCACCCCGGTTCACGTTTGTATTTACGTTCCAGGTGCAGCTCCCGGCAGCCGGAACGTATCCTTCTGCTTCACCTTTAACTGAGTCCGCTTGCGTCTTAAGCATGACCATTTGGAGAGGGAAAGAACTTTCTCTTCCAAGCCCCTCCCTCCCTCCCTCCCTTGGCTCCAGCCCTGGGAGCACCCGTGGTGGCGTGAATAAACTGAGCACTTTCTCCTGAGAAGCTGATGGGTGGATGTCCGTTTGTGGTGGGTGTTGTTGCCGTCAGGTCACAGCTGACTTTTGGTGACCCCTGGTGGGGATGTCAAGGCAAGAGGGGTCGCCACCCTGGTCCGCCTTGGAGGTCTCCCACGCAACTGCTAGCCCGGGCTGGCCCTGCTTAGCTTCGGCGCCCTGGAGAGACTGGGCTCGCGGAGACTAAGAATACGTCTGGCCCGCCTTAGCCAGGCCTGCTGCTTGGCACAGAGAGGACTTTGTAGCGGCCACTGGGGTTGTTGGGGTTTCCCTCCGTGTCTCTGCTTGGCATGCCGTGGCCTTGGTGCCGTGCCTGGCGTATCCTTCTGCGCCTAGAAAGGGCGGCAGCTTGTTTGTCAGAAGTGGGCTTAACTGGGAAACTGGGCTGGAGCAGGCACTGGGGACGCTGGAGGGGCCGGTGGAGGTGGTGCGGCCGCCCAGAGCAGTGTGATTGGGGTTAGGGTTAGGCAGGCGGATGGATGACAGCAGGGTCAAAGGGTACAATGAATAAAGTTTTAAAAATATAAAACGATTAAAAATGTATCACCGTTAAAAACTACCCGCTATCAAGCAGGGTCGGATGTGTGGATGGTGGTGGCACGGCTGGAGCAGAACTTATCAGCTGCCCCCCAAAAAGAGCAGCCATGCATGCCCTGCGGAACCGGGGGAGGTCCCACAAGGCGCACACCTCTTCAGGCGGCTGGTTCCACAGGGCGATGGGGGCCACTGACCGAGAACACCCTTGCCTTTGTTGATTGACACCACGCGGACAAGTTGTGGAGTGTGTGCGCTTCTCGGGTGTGAAGAACGCCATCTTTTGGTACGCGCCTGTGTGCCGGCTTCTCTTTTCCCACCGCTTCTGGCTTGTGGCCGCCTCTTCTAGGATGGGTGTGCCCGGCCACGGACTGCCCTCTGGCGCGGGCTAGGTGAGGAGGAGGAGGCCAGGAGGGATCTTGTAGGGCTAAAGGGCAAATGGGCCAGTCCTTTGGGTGGTGATCACCTCCAATGGTCACTGGTGGTTTGTTTTTTTAATTTCAGGCACGGGGTTTATCTGCTTTTGTGTGCTTCCAATATAAAATGGTCTGCCTATGAAAGGGAAAAGGGTGGTTTATTTCAGACAAATATTACTTCTTAAGTATCTTTTTCATGCCTTTCCATAAAATGATCTTCGCGGTTGCTCACTATAGAAAGGTGAAGCATCATGTCAAGTCTTACAGCAACTGCTGTGTAAGGGATGCTGTCAGTCTCCCCCCTTTCTGTTTCCTTCTGTAATGGGGGGGGGGGCCTTCAAGAGGGAATTAGATAAGCATATGGAGCAGAGGTCCATCAGCCACAAGGTAGAGATAGGAACTCTCTGTCTGGGGCAAGGGATGCTCTGTCTTCTTGGTGCCTGGGGGGTGGGGTTCAACGGTGGGAGAGCTCCTGGTGTCCTGGCCCCACTGCTGGCCCTCCTGGTGGCCCCTGGTATTTCTGGCCCCTGTGTGACAGACAGAGTGTTGGACTGGAGGGGCCACTGGCCTGACCCAGCATGGGCTTCTCTCTTGTGTTCTTATGTCAGGGGGCGGTCCTCTCTGTTTGGCTGGGCAGGGAGCTCTGGCATTGCGTGTTGGCTCCTCACCTGTGGCACAAGCTGTCTGGCAGAGGAGCCTGGGAGGCAGCCCCGTTGGCTGCAGTCCCATTCCCCCCCCCCCGCCGCCATGGGTCGGTGCCCCTGAGTGTGGGTGGGGCGCTGATGCTGTCAGGGAAGGCAGCGGAAGGAGCGCTCTGAACCCCCTTCCCCATTCAGCACGTCTGACATTTCTTGGAGGCTGAATTCAGCGCTGCTCAGAACTCTTGTGGATTGACTGATAAAATTGGTCCGAGGTGTTGGGGAGGACTTTGGTTCCACCCGAGTCCGGTGCATTCTTGGGGCCTCTCTGGATCCCAGGGGGGAGCAAGAATCCCTGTGCCTCTTTTTCAGTCCTCTGGAAGGAAGGTGGGTTTCCCTTCCGCTGTGTTCAGGTAACAAGGGCGCACCTCTAGGTGGTGGAGAGACTTGGTGGCTCTGCTCCTCCTGGCACGGCCAGAAGAGGTGATGCGGCTTTGTGAGGCGAGCAATAAGCATTCCCTCCTGAGAAACTGTGTCTGCTCTTCTCTTTCCTGCAGCGCCTGCGCCGGCTGATTCACTGGAGAACGTGGCACATGGCCGAGAAGAAGTCTGCTCGGGACTCTAACGGCTCCTCCTCGGGCCGTCTCTCTGTATTCACTGCTTCACTGCTCGGCAGTTTTGGCTCAAGGACTGAGGGGCATATCCGCTCTGACTTTTGTATTGCCAAGAAGGGTGGGGACTGCTGGCGCTGGTCTGTTGGGCAGGTGGAGACTCTGCTGAGCTGGCTTATTCTTGTGCCTCTTCGCAGGGGAAGACCCCGTCTGTCGTCTCTGTCACCTGCAGAAGAATCTGGTGACCTTGGCACTGGTGGCCTCCTTGGCACATCCATGTTGCTCCTCTTTCTGATTCTGAAACATGCAAAACAGCCACTCGGGTGTTCTGTTTTGTTCTTTTTTAAGGGGTTGCATGGCTCGGAAGGGCTGGTGGCATCGATGTGCCAAACTGTACAGCCAAGAATAATTGCACATGTTCGAACTTCTCGGCAGTTTGCAAAATCTACTAAAGAAGGGATTAGATGAATAGAGTAGTTCTCCTTTTTGGTAGAGTTTTCTAGCGCGCACCCCCCACCCCCACCCCACCCTTGTTAATCAGGCCAGGTGGTATGGCACCGAGGTGTTCTGCTCAGCTGGCTTCGTAAGAGAAGGGTGCTGCATTCATGTTGGTGGCTAAGAACGGAGACTGCTTTTGGCATGATCTGCGTGGTTCCCGGGCCCTCCCCTCCCCCCCCCGCTTGGTGTGGGATAATCCAAGTCCGAACACGGTGGGAAGACTTCAACATGCAGCCTTGCTTTGTCCCTCTGTTCTGTGTGTGGTGGGCTTGGGTTTAGACTTCTGCTTTGTGGCTGCTGCTTCTTCTTCATCATGCTGTTCCATCCAGCCCCGTGCGCTGCCCGAGAATCCCTTGGACTTGTGCTCTGCCACTTGGGCGAGCCCCTCTGGCCCATGTTGACAAACGCCCCTCGCTCAGATGATCCCCCGGTCCTCTCTGCTCCTCAGGGGGGCTGGTGGCCTCTTCTCTCTTTCTTCCTGTGTTAGTGGGCTTGGCCAGTCCAGCTCTTAGAGAAGCTGCAAGGAGCACTGGGGCGGGGGGAGGCTGAAGGACTTCGTGTTGCAGACCCCCCGGGTGGTGGCGTCTGACTGGAGGAGGGCAGGCCTTTGCAAAGGAGAGCTGGGGGTTTGGTTTCATGCTCATTCTAAGTACACACGCGTGCACACACACACACACACACACACACTCCCGCGTGTCAAAGGCTCTGCTTTGGCTCTTTGTTCCTTGGATTTGGTTGGGATTTGGTATGTTGACAGCTCCATACGGTTTTATGGATCTACTTTAAGGTGACATTGTTTACCGTTTGTGTGTGTGTGAAGTTTGAATAAAATACTGAAACTCATATAAGCCCCCTGGGTTCTCTGTACTCTAGGGGAGAGCCAGTGTGGGGTAGTGGCTAAGAGCAACGGACTCTCATCTGGAGAACCGAGGGGCTTGATTCCCCCCCCCCCGCGGCTCCACACGAAGCCTCCTGGGTGACCTTGGGCCAGTCACCGTTCTCTCTGAACTCTCTCACAAGGTGTGGGGAGAGGAAGGGAAGGAGATTGTAAGCCGTAGAGTATAAAACCCAACTCTCCTCTTCTTCTTCTGGGGCAGGTACAGAGTGGGGGCCGCTAAAAGCGTAGAAAATGACAGTATTGCAGCGAGGTGACCCTTTCCCCCAATCACCCAGTCTGTGCCAGAGGGAGAAAGCAAGGGAGCCGCCTTGCGCCTTGAAGACTGGCCCGCAAGCCAAGGAAAGGCTAAGGCCCCTCGCTCACTGCTTTCCTCCAGTCAAAGACCAGACCTCGTAGGGCCCGTGGTCATCCGTAGGTGGAGGCCTCATCCTTGGGACCAGAGGGGAGGTTGACCTCTGCCTACCTCAGCCTCCCCAGGCCCGCGGGGCTGCCTGCTCTCGCCTCTCTCGCCGGTGGGCTGTCGGTCCAGTGTGGCACAGGCTCCCCCTGCAGCCACTAGCATAGATGGCAGCAGTGGCATGTGACGGGCATGCTTCCTGAAGTTGTCTCTCTCCTCTCCTTCTGCAGGGGCTTTCGGCCTCTTCTGTCCTTGCTCTGGGGGGGGGGGGGGCATGCTGCTGTGAGAAGAGGCAACGGGAAGGTGCTGCTGGGATGGTGCCTCTTGGTCTGGCAGGGGGAAGCAGAAGGGGCCTCCCGGGGGTTTCCCCACAGCTGCAGCCTGGTCCTCATAGGGTAGTGACCGCTGCTTCACGCCCAGAAGAGAGCTGAGCCAATGGGGGGGGGGGGAGGGTCCCCTGGGGGCTGCTACTGTCCCAGTCCCCATTGGCCTCCCCAGATCTCTTGCAGGCGTCCCGAGCTTTCTGAGCTGAAAGCGGCTGGTGATTGGTCCCCACGGGCTGCCACAGGAGGAGGCTGCTGGTGGTGGAGGAGGAGGAGGAGCCAAGCACAACCCCTCTTCTTCCCCTCTGCAGAAGAATCCCACGGCAGCCATGCCAGACGCGTGAAGTGAAGGCGCCTTGTTCCAAGTCAAGCCACTGATCTGTCAAGCTCAGAGTTATGGGTGCATGGAGGGAAATGGGGCCCAGCCACTGGGAGGCCCGCCAGCATGGAGGACGAAGGCTTCAGTTTCGGAACACTTCCTGGCTCCCGGGACTCCTGAGAGCTCCCTCTCCGCTTGGCAGGGGGTCGGGGTCACAAACACCACGCCTCCATCCCTCTCGGTCCCTCCGCCTCCTGGTCTACCCAAGTCAAAACCGGCAGGCATCCCACTGAAATTTCTCTTGGGCTTCCAATATGAGTATGGCGGGGGGGGGGGCTGTTTTTAAAAAACCTTTTCCTGTAAAAAAAAAAAAGATTACCAAAGCTTGTTTCTTCTTAATGGAGAGGAATAAAAAGAAGGAATTCTCTGTGTGTGTGTGTGTGGGGGAAAGACAGGAGAAATTAAATTGAGGAGGTGAGAGAAGGGGCCACGATGGAGCCACCTGATGACCCAGGACAACCTGGCTGCGTCTGCTGTGGCACAACGCGTGTAAATAATACAAACGGTGGGCAAACATTCGAGTTGCCTCAAACTCTTCATCAGACCAGAGGTTACACAATAAAAGAACTTTAAAGTCATGCCAGCCTCTGCCGACTGGCGGGGTGTGCCTAGGACGCCCACTGGCTGCCCATCCGTCAAGGCTCCCCCCTCACAGGGGCTCCTCACGGCCTGGGGCCTCCCTATCTGCCAGGCAGGCTCTCCGGTGCTGCTCTGCAAGTGGGCGAGATCCCCCCCCCCACTGCCCATTCTCCGTGGCCTCCTCTTCTTCTTGTGGAACTGCTGCCTGGGGGGGGGGGGTGTGCCTCAGGGGGCCGGCAAGGCTCCCAGGCTTCTGCCAGTCTGCAAATGAGGAAGAACACGGCATCGCTCAGGAGGGCCCAAAGGTTAAGAGGGCTGTCTTAGAACTGACTGTGCCCGTGAAGCTGCCTTCTACTGGATCAGACCGTCGAGGTCCCTCCGGGTACTCAGCCTGGCAGCAGCTTTCCAAGACCTCGGGTGGAAAAGGGTCTTTCCCATCACCTCCCGCCTGGCCCTTTGAACCGGGGGCCTTCTGTGCGCCCAGCAGAGGCTCTTCTGCTGAGCCGCAGCTCCTTGGTCAGTGGTTCAGGAGGGTGCCGAAAGGAAAGGGATGGGACCGTGACCCACACGACTGCACACATGATGCGATTACCCTGCCCTCACTGCCTTGTTGTGGTTTTCCTTTCACGGTCTAATCATGACACTTTTGTTTCCGATGTCTGCAATCCTCGTCCTGTTGCACTGCTGACTGCGCTGACTGAGGCGGGTGCAGTCCCCGTGAGGAAGGTGGACTCTCAGGGGAATCCGGTGGCTTCAGGCGGCGGTAGGCCTGGGGCCCTCAAAGGAAGAGGTACCCAAACCAGCCCCCCCCCCCCAAGCGCTCCTAATCCCAGCGTGACTGTGAAGCCCCTTCTTCTCGGGCAGGCCATGGTGCTCAAGAGAGAGGGGGGGGGGATTTGCCAGGCTGCAGGGGCTGGCCAGCCGGCCTCCTTCTGTTCCCCCCCCCCCGCCGTCCTTGCTCTTTCCAGGGGCCTCTCCTGTCCCTCCGGGCTGGCTGGGCTCAGCGGCCATGCAGGCAGAGGAGTGGTTCAGAGAGCGGTGCCCGTGGTCCCAAAGCGGAGTCCAGCATGGAGGGAGGGATGGCCAGCCACACCGAGGCCCTTCCTCCATGGAGGCCATTTACACGGGCGGGCCTCTTTGGGGAGTTCCTCAGAAGGCTTCCTCGGGCCACCTGGGGCGAAGCAAGGAAGCCTCGGAGGCCTGTTCAAGGCTCTGGGTTCAAGCGCCCCCTTTGCCAGGCTGTGGGGTGGTGGGGGTGAGCCGGGGCCGGACTCTCCCCTCGCCTGGGGTTAAAGGGCGGCGGGGGGGGGGAGCCTTTCAGCGCAGCCGTCGTTCCTT